TTTTATCACTAACACCGTAGCCTGCAGCTAACTCGGACGTGGTTTGCGATGGATCCGCTTCCACAATAGCCTTCAATACTTCATTATCAACTTGGGTCTCAGGCCGTCCACGGGGCTTGTTCTGCAGGTCGAAATTTCCAGAACGAAAACGTTGGAACCAAAAACGAACTGTGTTTTCTTTTGCAACATGACCGCCATACACATCATTCACCCTTCGAGTCGTTTCCGCAGCACTAGTGCCATGGCGGAACTCGTACTCGTAAATAATGCGATACTTTAAGTTTTCCATTTTGTAAAATGAGTGACGCAAACAGAAAAAAACAAATGAATGACGGTCATCGAAACACAAATACATGAGTAAATAGCTGTACAAATTTGAATTTGGAATTCCTTCGCAAAGAGGAGAACATCGTGATTAAAGTGGCCAGTACGAAAAACGCCAATTTCATATGTAAGGACCTAATATATAAGTCATCGTACTGATTCATATGAGACTCCCAAAACTATTAAACACAGTGAACTAATGTGAAATAATTGATTTAAATTTTTATTTATATTATACAATAAGATATACCAAATGACAATACCACAATGAAATATCAAGAAGATGAGAGTGTTAACTTGAAATTTTCTAACTAATTTGCCGCTGTCAGGACACGTATCAATCACGGAATTTAATTCAAAAAACATTAAAATATGTTTATCACGGGTAAATAACTGGTATAAATGCCAAGGTACCCAAATACAAATCTAAAACCTTATTAATATTGTAAGAACATGCTAGATGTCGCTTTTTACACCTTAGGTAACGTATTTGTTGGTATAGAATAAAATGTTCAGTGATTTTGTTTTTTGTAGTGATTACCATGCGCTATTAAAGTAATTAAATATTTTTTAAGTTTGTTATTATTGTGCGCGCTGTAAAGTAAGAAGTATTAGTAATTTCAATTGCAATTTATGCTGGAGGTTTAAGAAATTCCGAAAGATGGCGTTAGTATTGGGAATAAAAAAATATAGAGAGCTATTATTGAACACTCTACTATCTTTTAATGTTTATTATGTATTATTATTAATGCATTGAGATATTGTGTTCTATGGATGAATGTGAAGTCTCCAATACGCATTGGGCTACCGTGGGGACTTCAGATTCCCTTTCGCCTAAGAAACGTCCAACACACAGATATGTATGAGATTCATGATTTAGCCTTCAACTTGAACTTGAATAATAATTGAAAATATCTCTCATTGTTTAAAGATTTATGAGGATTAATTATGTTACAAATTTTTTGGATCCACGATCCAGACTGTATGTGGGTAGTCGCAGTGTGGGCGGCGATTTCAAGAGAACTATCTCTTAAATTAAAACACCCAAACAAATAATTACTAAATTAATTGTTTGGATCTCATTTAAATAAATAAGTGTCCAACAATATTGGCTGGTTGCCAGATACTTTCATGTAATGTAATTAAAAAGACTGCCCAACTTATGAAAAGCTATTTGACGGTCATGCTACGACATATTTTGATTTAAGAAAAATTATAACATCTAATAATAACCTGCAACCCCATAGCATCAGAATTTAAAAAAGAACCTTAGTGTGTACCAAATTAAATATTGTCTCATAGAACAAATTTCCATTTGCTTTTGATTTTAATCTTTTAATATATACATACCACAATAATATACTGTAAATATTTATGTGATTTCACAAAATATCCCAATAAAAAGTTTAATTGTGATTTTACAAAGTACGCCAAGAATCATTACAAAAGCTTGGAGGGACATTTTGCATCAGACGACGTTAATTACAAAAAGCGATACAAGAGATATTGCATTTAATTTGTAGTAAGAAACTTAATCGCTTAATATTTTCTATGATTTATGCTTCACAGTTAATGCTTTAGCGATTATGTAAACTTATTATGTTTGGTATTCGTACACTTAAATCGACAATATAAAGGCACTTTCACAGACCCTCTCTTTACTCTTTAAACAAGGATCAAAAGAATCACATATAACGTATAATTATAATTAGAACTCATACAATGGTATTGGGTTATATCGCCACAGGATTTAATTTGAATTTTCAAATAATGCATGCTTTGGCGTCCGGATATTTAATGAGGGAGTCACCCCACTGGTTATTTGCTACAATGTAAATAGACATCGAAAATACTAGGTCCTCATTTAGGTTTAATTTCGAGAGCTCATTTGAACACATGAGAAATTTACGAATGAAGTTAATTAAATATCCAATATATGTGATATTTTATTAAATTCATTACTTTTAGATGCGTTTATATGGTGATACCATTACGTAATAATACTGAGAGCAACGCACGTCGCGAATTCACACCCATATTTAACAGTTCCTCATACTTGGCCATGGTTAAAGTATTTCAACAAAACAATTTAACAATACTGTGATCAAAGGTTAAAGACATGTTTTGATAATAACTGTTTGAAGTTTTTAATACTTCTCAACACTAAATGCTAAATTGTGGTCACATTTATGAATACATTGTTATAAAACAATGTAAATAAATACAACTTAATTTTAACATTATTCATGAGTTGTTAAATATTCGTTGTTATGTTCGATACCTTTTTAAAAGATGTTAACATGTGGGTCGGACTACAGAGACGTTCATTAAGAGCTAACGGTTACTTAGGCCAGAATTCAAATAAGTTTACCATAACACACGATTAAGAACATTTTAGTTTCGTAGCTAATATATATACATATGTATATAGTTTATGCTCCTGATGTCGAAACTATTTTCATCCTGCAGAAGAGGGCTATTCGTGCAATCTATAATTTAATATGTAGGGAATCTCTGAGATATAAATTCAAGGAAATTTTCCCCCGCAATATATTTATGAAAATATTATGTATGTATACAAAAATAGCGATAAGTTTACTAGAATAGAACATACGCACAATGTTAATACTCGGAACAAACGCAGGCTGCAATTTCCCCGTACTAGACTATCTAAAGTTAGTACCTAATTCTTTTTTTGGGAAAAGGGATACTCTTCTTTAATATAATCCCAGAGGCTCTTTTATCTCTGCCTTTTAATAAATTTAATGACCACTGCTTTGTATTTATATTGGGATTGTTATGGTTGATTCTGAAAAGTGTTCGTTTCTAGCCTCTTAATATTCATTAGGTGATAGTGAGGGTTGATAGTTTTAGTTGTTTTGTTTAGGGATCTATTACAGAAGAGTTTTATGCAGTGAGACTATAATACTGAGTCTGACGTATGAAATTCCCGTATGTGCTCACGTGGATTGCACAGTTTATCATAATATATATATAATTATATTGGTCAGGGTTAGAGCATGACGTCAAGTTTTTTTGTCAATAAATGTGAAAAATGTCAACGTTACAAATATTTAAAAAGGGTAAAAGAACCTATGTCTATAACAGATTGTGGGAACTCGGCTTTCGATAAAATTTATTTAGATTTAGTAGGTCCGTTAACAAAAGATAATAATTATAATTACATTTTATCGCTCCAGTGTGACCTAACCAAATATGTCGAGGCATATCCGATTGTAGGTAAGGATGCACGTACAGTCGCAACAACACTAGTAAATAATTTCATACTTAGATACGGCATCCCTCGGCAGATCGTGACCGATAGAGAAACAGAATTTATTAATTCTACGATGGAAGAGGTATGTAAAATTTTAAATGTAAGTCAATTACAATCGACAGCTTTTCATCATCAAACTTTAGGTTCTCTAGAAAATAGCCATAAACATTTAACATTTTATTTAAGAATGCAAGTTAATAGTCATAGTCAGGAATGGATCTCATGAATTCCTTACTGGTGTTTTTCATATAACACTTCGGTACATTCTAGTACAGAATTTACACCGTACGAATTAGTATTTGGTAAACAATGTAACTTACCAAGTAATCTCACGTCAACTATAGATCCAATTTACAACTTTGACAATTATGCAATAGAACTGAAATACCGATTACAAAAGTTACAAAATGAAGCTAAAACTAACCTTGAAAATTGTAAAGTTTTAAGAAAAATTAAATATGATATTAATATAAACCCAGTAAAATATAAATATGGAGATTTAGTATTGGTAAAAAATGAAAATAGCAACAAACTTGATCCTTTATATATAGGTCCATATTTAGTTGTAAAAGATTTATCGCCGAATGTAGTAATTTTAGTGAATGGCAAAGAAAAAACTATTCATAAAAATCGTACAACACTTTATATTAAATAATTATTATATTGATTTTAGTAAGACTTGTGATTGTGGCTGTACCAAATGTACAGATGATGTGTATTACATTCCGATATTGTATTACTACACTTATGTTTAGATACTTATACTTACTTATATTTTTATGTGATAAGATATTGCTATTGTACTTTATTGTATTTTAAATTTAAGAATATTTTTAATATCTAAAAAAATACTATATTTGTTTAATTTCGTTTAACATTTGTGTACTCATACTATTAATATTACTCATATTATGTAATAAAAAAAAATGTTTCTATATCTTACTTTTTTTTTGGTGGGGCATGTGGCGTATCTATGCCTTATATCTATATTAATGATTATATTAGTATAAATTCTCATGCATTGTATTAGAGCAAGAAGTATTAAATGTATCATCGAACTGGAAACATCGTTCTTATTTAGTCCTTACAGTCTATTGTCCAAAAGGCGCCTTATAGAGCCGTTCTCTCAATATTATGCAGGACTAATCAAGTTGGATTGGCCTTGCGATAAAGTTCTATGCACTGTTATGTTTCAAGACGTTTTTCTTTTTTATTTATTCCAAAATATCATATTTTTTACATGGTATGGAAGTTTACTATTTGAAAATAATTCTTTCAGGTTAGTGTGCATAATATGCTATATCTTGAATATAGTATACAAGAACCAAGTCAAATATGAAACTTATCCTATCGTAGGTTTTTAGTTCAGTTACTATTGTTTTGATTATTGTATTAAAAGATGCTTGTATGTTTGAGAAATGTCGAATTATATCGCGGGGACTTGAGTCGTACGAAGGTTATGGAAGGTACGCTGATTTAAAACAACATTATCAAAACTTTTTTATAAAACATTACGTATAGAATATATAATTTTTATCATAATCTGTCCTTAATGACAAGTCGAGGGCATCTTAAAAGGACGTTATGAAAGCAAGCCGATTTTGTGAACTATTATTCTCTTCACCTTGATAATATCACTAGTTTTGTTAACTGTTTGTGAAATTGAACTTTTAATTTACGAGTGACTTGATATATTGCACAACTTTTAATTTATTAAGCACTTTTATCGTTCAAGGAAGTTCAAAAATAGGTAACGGGTAAAATCGTTTGATAAGAAATGATCCTTTTATTCCGAATTGAGAGATTATTATTATTTTATTTAATTGAATCGATAAACCAACGTGTTATGTATAAGTGTTGTCTGTCAAACTACTTTAAGTAAATACAACAATCCAGTTTTTGTACCATACAGACAAAATATCGAACTTATTATAATTATGAATATAATATTCATGAATGTTGTTCTTTGACCAAAGAACATAAGTATTATTTACTTCACGTGTATAAATTGGACCATAGACGTGACGAGGGCAGAAAATATGTTTTGTCTCGTCATTTACAGCATTTTCTTGTGAAATAAAGCTTTAGTGGCAGTTTACAAATTAGTCTCGGATAGTTATGTAGTGCAAGTCCGAAACTAAGACGTGAACCGATTGACCTCGATACTTTAATGGGCAATAGTTTCGTAACAATACAAAAAACAGAACAATCGAGTACAGAACAAGCGTTGATCGAAAATGTAATCTGTTTCGTATCTTATTGAAATATTTTTAAAATGTTTTTTAAATGTTAAAAACAAGCATAACTAATGAACGTGTTGGTGATGGCAAGCGGAGGAAGTGAAAGTCCAGTTTCAGGATCGTAGCACAGGGAGATTTGGGGTATTTGCGTACAAGCATAGACTACAACAAAGGCCCGTAGTAGGCCCCGATACACGGATAATCCCCTTACGATAGCTAACAATACTATAAAGGCCGCCCGCGCGGCATAGTCATTAGGGTAAAAATCTCGCCAAGCAAAATGGCATTAAAAAAAGTGGTCTGTACTTTCGGAACAGTAGTTACACAAATAGATTTAAAAAATATATATGTTTGAAAAATCTTAAACTTGCATGTAATCTAGATTTATTCTATTTTATAAAACAAAAACAATTTGAATATAATTCATATTATAAGAAATTAAATTTTGTCAGACATCATGAGTCCTTTGTGTAGAACTTCGAGAACTACCTATTTTCGTATTCTATAAAAGCAATAAACAGTGAAGCAAAATCAAACATCAATGAAAAATGCAAGTTGCAAGATTGCTTGCAAATTAAATTTCACTTTGCGTCGTGTAGTTGTGGCTTAGCCCAAATAGGAATGATTTCCTGAGTGAGAGAAAAGTGTTAAGCTAAACGCGTGTTGATCTAATACTAAACTTTATTTATGGCCTCGCCTACGTGTACCATTTACTCTTGGATATTGATTTCTATAACTTTTTACTTCGTGTTGCCTGAAATTAAACAAATCTTATTCATATGACTCTACCATTCTACTTTCACCGTTCTAACTAAAGTACTCAGCTAGCTGTTAACACATAAAGAGTCAGTGAAAAGATTGATTTAAATTACATCAACTTAGTTATACTAAAAAACTAGTCGTTTAATAAAGAGTAATCAGAATCTATGTTGTGTAACTTTTTATTATATTTATCAGTGAAATTTCTTATGTTACAGAAGCGTATTGTGTTGAATGTATAATAACTTCCATACCCATTTTGGCAACAGTTTCCCAAGGCAGTCCGCGTCATTATTACGTATATTAAAGGGGACATACAGTATTATATAACAAAAGAGCCACGTGCCCAGCCGGTGTACATATTTTAGTACACATTTTTATTTTAGTTGCATTTCGTTAGGCAACAAAAGAAAGCTAATGATCACAGTCTATATTCTATTGCAACCATATCATACACAATATACATTGTTTTGTAACTGAGTCTATGGAAGACTGTGTCAAATTTCATAAAAATTTATAGATTTATACGTAATAGATAATGTGTAAATTATTTTAGATTGATTTCTGAGACATTTATCCTTCTACAATCTTTTTCGATTTTAAAACTAATAAAAAATATAAATAGTACATTAAAAACTCACTTCAATAATATTACATAGTATTCCACTAGCTGGAAACTAAAACGGTTAATTTTTACAGATAAACGGCGCTGTGGCCATCCAGCTGTGCCGCCTAACGCAAGAGTATCACTTTCAAATAGTGACATTGTGCCTGGAACTCTGGCCACATATGAATGTGACGAGGGTTATGAGCTCTTCGGAGGGCATCAGAAAGAGTGCACCGTTAGGGGCGATTGGAAAGGAGATTCACCATTTTGTGGTACGTAATGAAATAAACAGTGTAGGCATTATTTGAGGACGTTTCAATATTTAAAATGGAATATTTTTAAAGTTATTTTAAAAGTTCATTCTAACCCCTTCTATATGATATATATGTCACCGTAAAATTGTAAACACCGTTAGATTGAAATCTATCTCGCGAGATTGTAAACTGTCAAAAGATTGTGAACCTCAACGAACTCAATTTAACGTATTATTATTCGGTAGATTGTAATCTATCGAAGTAAAACCGTCAAATTGTGAAACGGATCGCACCTCGCGCGCTGATTGGTTGAACGGAATATGACCCGCGCCACCATATTTGTTTGTTAATTCGTTTGTTTTATGAATGTAAATTGATGTCGTGTTGAAAGAAACTCACAGCTTTAGAATTAGTTATATGAAATTGTTGGGAAGTAAAATTAATCTGTGATTGACCAAAGAAGTTTGAACGATAATTAAGTTAGTGTTGGAAATGAAATGAAATAGATTGCTACATCATATTTTATAAAGCTGCTTCAGATTTTATGACAATTTTACAGTGTTAAAAGCAGAACCTCCATCGAAAATTCGAGTTGATTAGAAATTGCAGGTAATTGTTACCGCGTAGGTACGTGAACACATCGCGCATAACCTCCTGCAGGCTAAATACGGGATTAGATTATCATCTCCCCACCAATTTATATATGTATATATAAATGAAACCATGGGGGCAAAGTAGGCATATATTAGGTCCTTACATATGAAATTGGCGTTTTTCGTACTGGCCACTTTAATCACGATGTTCTCCTCTCTGGTATGGAATTCCAAATTCAAATTTGTACAGCTATTTACTCATGTATTTGTGCTTCGATAACCGTCATTCATTTGTTTTTTTCTGTTTGCGTCACTCATTTTACAAAATGGAAAACTTAAAGTATCGCATTATTTACGAGTACGAGTTCCGCCGTAGCACTAGTGCTGCGGAAACTCGAAACGTGAATGATGTGTATGGCGGTCATGTTGCAAAAGAAAACACAGTTCGTTTTTGGTTCCAACGTTTTCGTTCTGGAAATTTCGACCTGCAGAACAAGCCCCGTGGACGGCCTGAGACCCAAGTTGATAATGAAGTATTGAAGGCTATTGTGGAAGCGGATCCATCGCAAACCACGTCCGAGTTAGCTGCAGGCTGCGGTGTTAGTGATAAAACTGTTTTAATTCACTTGAAGCAAATTGGGAAGATTAAAAAGCTTGAAAGATGGGTACCTCACAAATTGACTGAAGCAAACCGGCAAACGCGCGTCGACTGCTGCGTTAAATTACTGAACCGGCACAATAATGAAGGTATTTTAAACCGAATCATTACCTGTGATGAAAAATTGATTCTTTACGATAATCGGAAGCGCTCAGCGCAATGGTTGGATCCTGGCCAGCCAGCCAAATCCTGCCCCAAGCGAAAATTAACCCCAAAAAAGTTACTTGTAAGCGTTTGGTGGACTAGTGCCGGTATTGTTCATTGCAGTTTTCTCAAATCTGGCCAGGCTATTACGGCTGATGTCTATTGTCAGCAATTGCAAACCATGATGGAAAAGCTAGCGGCTAAACAACCTAGGCTGGTCAATCGCTCCACGCCACTGCTACTTCACGACAACGCTAGACCACACACTGCACAACAGATGGCTACCAAATTAGAAGAGCTTCAATTGGAATGTCTAAGACATCCTCCGTACTCCCCGGACCTTGCTCCAACAGATTACCATTTTTTTCGAAATTTGGCCAACTTCTTGCAAGGGAAAAAATTTAACTCTGATGGGGCAGTCCAAATCGCCTTCACAGATTTTATTGATTCCCGTCCGACTGTTTTTTTTAGTAAAGGGATCAATGAACTACCTATGAGATGGCAAAAGTGCATAGAAAACAATGGTTCATACTTTGATTAATTAAATATATTATATTTAAAAATATTCGACTTTTCGTTCCTCCCATACAAAACGCCAATTTCATATGTAAGGACCTAATATAAGAGGAAACAGGAACGAGGAACGAAGTATTACTTTAATATTTGTATTTCTTTATTTACACTTCATTGCCATAATAGTACACATAATTATACATATAGAAAAAAACCAAAAAGTAAGTAGGTTACATAAATTATTAGGCAACGGGCGGCCTTATCGCTAACAAGCGATTTCTTCCAGGCAACCCTAAAATGGATCAATAGAAAAAAAGAAACACCTACAGAGGGTAAAGTACAAGAGATGCATAATTTATTAACAAAACGATACTAAAAATAACATGCAACTATAACTAATATTAATATATTAATAATATTGATTAGTTGCTAAGGTTAAAATAGCTTTTAAATTACTTTTAATAATAATCATGAGTTTGGAAGCACTATTACTATCGACTATCGGATAGTCGTTGATTAATAGATTTAGTTGAATTGCCAAATCGAATAAACCACAAATATTAACGGTTTAAACTTTAAAACTTGACTTGTCGTTGTTAATTTATAAGCTCTGTGAAATATAATGTCAATGGCAGGTGACAGTGTCGCCATCACTCCGACATATATATTATACATAAATGCGTTCCCTCAATTGGATAAAGAGTACAAAGCAAGCGTTAGGAGCTATTAAAATCCAGACTGCGACTATATTTAATTGTGTCAGTATTGTAATAACGTTCCCCTATGGGAATATTAGATTGCATTTAGTATTGCGTGTAGAAACCCGAAGTGACTAATGATTATGCATACTTGATCATAATACATATGTATTTTTATTTTTTTATTTAATCATATGATTAAACTAGGTGACGACACAATTATATAAAATAAAATACTTAAATGAACTAATTCGGATCAACGATACTCTTTACTTCCACATTTTCGACTATCAAATACGCTGAGTGTTTCCTATGTTAAGTGTTGTTTACCTTATTAATTTAAAGGGTTGTTTGTGGAAAAATAGGGCTATAATATAATGTCTAATTTATAGAACCTGCACAATAATAAACATATTTTTTTAATTTTTACCACCACATTGTTTTAACTAAAAAACTTGCTGTCAAAATGTTTTGATGAATAGCGACAGGTCAGTGTTTTGGTTATGAATAGGGAGGTGAGAGTAGAATATTTTTTGTCAATAACCTATATACATATACAGTACAGTAAAGGAACGACTGATTAAATTATAAACAATCAATCAGAGTTATCTTTATTTTGATTGAAGTAATTAAACCAAACGTTTATTCGTTTAATAAAATTTTCCGTGTTATAAATTCCAATTTGTACAGTGTGATAAAATTAACTAACGCTTAATATTATTTTTAAGGTATTTATTAGGCATTTCATTGATATTGAGTTCGTTTCTCCCCCATCCATTAGGCTTAATAACTACACTAGATTAGCAGCGATGTGCCGACGGAGCTTATAGGGGTAGCTCTGTAAAAGCTATCTAGAAGTACTTAATGAATTTTTAACAATCGCAAAAAGGAATCGATTTATGGTATGTATTCGTTAAATTCGTACATTAGTTAAGTTCGTTCGTTACAAGCTTATAATAATTTCATCTCTTGAAGATCATTTCAACACGATCGCGCTACTTTATAGCTTTTTTTAAAAATTGCTAAGACAAATGAAGGTAGGAAGGCAAATAGAATATAAGTTATATATATGTAATAAATAAAAACATTTTTTTTTAGTTTTCGAATTAACTTGACTTGATTCTGTATTGTTTGGATGAATGGAACCAAGAAGTACTCATATAGGTACTATTACATTACATAAATAAATATATAAGACAAATATGAGGAAAAAAGGGGCTACCACCATAATTTTACAACAGGTCAGTAGTTCATTCACAGTTTCATTAAACAACTTTGCGCTTCCCCAAAATAAAACAAATTCTCTTAAACGCCTTAAACTTTTCTGAAAAGAAATTAGAGTTGTTGTAGCTGGTCAATTAAAAAGTACAATTCTTTATTCGCCTTTACTAATGAAGTGTGTGCGCGAATTAGGGCTAACGTAAAATTATAACAAGAAACCCAATACTAAACCTGGCCTTTGGTTACCTCTTGCTGTAACCACATATTATATTTTGCGGACTACAAAAATTAAACATAATTAAGGATATATGATTTCACTTATGTACTTATGCCTTTAGGTAATTTGGGTTATATAAAAATCGCTTACACTTTGACAACATCAAATCGCAACATGGCTTTTAGTAAAACGTCAGTTTGTATTTTCGTTCCTTTGTTACACAGGCGCCTTTGATCATTTCCACACATGCAGTTAACGCTCAAAAATTCATTTTTTTTCTTAAGGAACGTCACCCAGGGCTAACCGAATTATTCAACGTGCAGGTGTTCATTTAATTGAAACTATTATTATAAAGTGGAATAGTTTTTTATATATTTCAACACGTAATACATTGTCCGACGGTTTAGAGAAACAGAGGCCTTAATAATCATATAAAGGTTGCAATAACGCTAAATATTATACGTATAAACTCGTTAAGACTTATTTTAAAATAAGTCAGCAACAAAATAATCAAGTATCACGTGTGGTGTATCTCAAATCGACGAGATTACCGCTGAGCTCAGCGTCGGCAATAATAGTAATCGGATCTGATCTTTTATTGCCGTGTTTTCACATATTTAAACCACATATGATTTCATATCGAGTTATTAATTTCTACCTATAGTATAATAGTTTATTAGATTTTAAATAAGTGTCTCTAACGGATATAAACGTTAAAATTATATTATCAACTTAACTCAACTAGTGCTTTACATCAGTCGTGTTTAGCAGTGTAACTATTTTTTGGTACTATTTTTTTAAATTCAAAATCATTTATTCATTTAGGTAACACAATGTACACTTGTGAACGTCAATAAAGAAATATATATTAAATGCTATTCTTCTAATTTTACATCTAATGCCAGGGTAACGATGCGAAAGAGAAGTTCCTAAATTTGGGGTGCGGGGGAGGGGGAGGGGGGGTTAGGGGTGTAGTAATCAC